TCTAAAGTGTAACTAAGACTAAGAATAGTCGTAGTTACATCACAACTTAACAATACCACTATCTAAAGTGTAACTAAGACTAAGAATAGTCGTAGTTACATCACAACTTAACAATACCACTATCTAAAGTGTAACTGAGACTAATAATAGTCGTAGTTACATCACAACTTAACAATACCACTATCTAAAGTGTAACTGAGACTAAGAATAATCGTAGTTACATCACAACTTAGGTTAACAATACCACTATCTAAAGTGTAACTGAGACTAAGAATAGTCGTAGTTACATCACAACTTAACAATACCATTATCTAAAGTGTAACTAAGACTAAAAATGGTTGACAAACACAAAAGTTACGAGCAAGCTTAAAGCCATACGTCCAAGTAATCATTGAAGTGTATAATATCGTTATCTTAAGTGGCTACACGTTTCGGATGGCTGACTAGAAGGGGGAGCTTATTTTCCCGAAGCGATACTCTCTGTCACGATTTCCCCGGTTTCCTGTTCAAGTAATTACATTCTTCTCTGCTGTGGTTGGGTTTCATTAAATTAACAAACATTACATCATATGGCATAACTTTGTTTGTTTGTAATTAAGCACAAAGCTACACAATGCTCTGGCCACCACGGGTATCGAAACCCGGATTCTAGCGTTGTAAGTCCGCAGACATACCGCTGTGCCACTGGGGGGCATATAACATTAGAGCCTTCCTCCAAAGTGGCTCAGCGGTAAGTCTGCGTTTTTACAACGCTAAAAATCGCGTTTCGATACCCGAAAGCCCATTTGTGCTTGACGACAAAACAGATCACCTCCATATGAGACTTAGAATGTCTCAAGTTAAAATAGAGTACAGTTTACAAACAACAATTCAGTTAGGGGTGAGCTAAATAAGTAAAGGGGAAAACGTAACCAGAGGCCCACCGTCAGGATCAGTCACTGAATTTTAGTATTATAAGCCCTCATACAAGTCACGAGGAGAAATAATTCAATTACAATTATTAACCAGAATGCAAATTGACGTATACAAGATGCGCCCTCTCTTGGGAGATATGAACAATTCTAATGAGCTACTAACGCGTATGAAGTCGTGACATGTTTCGTCGACTTAATAGTTATTTTTTTTTTTTAATGAACCTAAAACGATACTCTAACAGGTATACATCCTTATAAAAGTGTGGATGTCCAGTTCTTGCACTGATTGTAGAATTAGAGCAATTCAACAAAAACATATAACAGTTCTCTGAACTGAAAAACTTGAGAATTGAAAACATAGGGAAACGTTGACGTTTGAAAAAACCCAGACAGTAGTCGAACGTACTTTTGAAAAGTCAGAGGCCACGCCCGGTTTGTATAGTCCCAGTCGCACCTAGCTGACATGTTTTTAAAGTTAAAGGGCTTGTGCTTTACTCACCCACTTGACACGTGCAAGAAAACAGGAAAAGCGTTGGTATGTACCCGCTAACCAAACTACAGCGCCATCTATTGTTACGGAAAATTATTATTTGGCAGTAAAACAGCATTAGAAGTATTACACTAAAAACGGGCAGAGTTTAAAGCAAAATAATCAATAATAAAGAACAATAAAACAACAACTACTAATATAGAAGAGGATTTAAAATTCGTTCGGGGAAAATAAGAATTAAAACAATAAAATTCTAGACCTATTTTGTAAGTAAACTCAGAAAATCCTTGAAGGGCGAGGGTCCAGTGAATCCTCTCATAGTTAAGTATATTATTCTTCAGATGATGACCTGGAGCATTTTTAACCACAAGGGCAACAATTACACAAATCGCCCGCTCGGTACAGCTAGCTACAGCTTCTACAGGTATTATATACATTACGTACAGCTTCTACAGGTATTATATACATTACGTACAGCTTCTACAGGTATTATATACATTACGTACAGCTTCTAGACGTATTATCTACATTACGTACAGCTTCTACAGGTATTATATACATTACGTACAGCTTCTAGACGTATTATCTACAT